GAATAAACCAAGTTCCCCACCTCCCAACACTCATAACTTTCATAATCTGTCCCTGCCTCCCTACCACCTTCCCAGCCAAATGATATGGTAATGAGTGTGGAGAGGCGTGCTGCAGCACTGTGATTGTTGGCCAGCTTAAACCCAAAGGATGCCTTTACTGTGTCTTCATCCCTGGGTGGGACAGCGTGCTTTTCTAGCTCCCTGGTCTGGGGTTCTGTGGAGGTCTAGGCTGACTCTCCAGAGCCAGCTCCAGGTCAGATCACTGCCATTCTAGCTGCTGGTCTCTGCGGGGTTGGAACTGTCTGTTCCATGGACTAGGTCGCACCGCAGCTCAAAGACTCCTTTTGAGTGGAAGGGGAGTTAATCAGAGACTCCCTGAGCTGTTCTGCTTCTCTCTCTTGGCTCCCAAACTCAATGCTCAAAAATTAAACTTGTCTCTTTGCCTCTGCGTCAGGGTGTCCCTTTATGATGGAGGGGCTGAGCAGACCTGGCTTATCATTGGCCCAGCTAAAGGCTTGGTCAGATCGTGCTCTTCAGAAGTCTCCTATTGGCCTCAGCAGGGGTTTCTAGTCTATTCTGTCCCTATACCTGATTCCAGCCATGCTGGGAAATGGTGCCAAAGGGATTTGGTAGCCATTTTTGTTGTAGTCCATAGAATAGGGTTTGCTAGAGCCTCAGCTCAAATGTGGGTTACATTGCTGAGTTACATCTCGCTATCATTCAAGTTAGGCAGGTGGTAACTAATATAAACTGGTATTCTAAAACCCATAGCAGTGCATCTCTGCCACTTTCCACCTATATGTCTGTAGGTTGCTTCAGAGCAGGCAGAATGAGCTAGCTCTGCAGTGGTCATTAGTTCTAGATGCCTGATCCATGGCCTGCAGAGTAGACAAATTGGTTTTTCATTCTTGTCTTAAGTTCCTTCTTCAAGTTCTATCATCACTCCTGTGACAGACCCAGACCAATGGGGTACAGGAGTCTGGTAGAGGGCAAATATACTGGTCACTGGATAAGTAGTTTTCTGTTCCCTGAGTGACCAGAGCAGGGGCTGCACTAGAGTAATCAGGAACCTGCTAGAACCAGTTAAGGCAGGCAGGCTAATTAGGACACCTGGAGCCAATTAAGAAGAAGCTGCTAGAATCAATTAAGGCAGGCTAATCAGGGCACCTGGGTTTTAAAAGGAGCTCACTTCACTTTGTGGTGAGAGTGTGAGGAGCTGGGAGCAAGAGGCGCAAGGAGTGAGAGGGTGTGCTGCTGGAGGACTGAGGAACACAAGCGTTATCAGACACCAGGAGGAAGGTCCTGTGGTGAGAATAAGGAAGGTGTTTGGAGGAGGCCATGGGGAAGTAGCCCAGGGAGTTGTAGCTGTCATGCAGCTGTTACAGGAGGCACTATAGACAGCTGCAGTTCACAAGGCCCTGGGCTGGAACCCAGAGTAGAGGGTGGGCCCGGGTTCCCCCCAAACCTCCCAATTGACCTGGACTGTGGGTTCTTCCAGAGGGGAAGGTCTCTGGGCTGTTCCCCAACCCACATGGTGAATCTCTGAAGCAAGAAAATCCGCCAATAAGTGCAGGACCCACCAAGATAGAGGAGGAACTTTGTCACACTCCATTTGTACTAATGACAACACTCTCCCTAGTCTCGGTCCTGAGAGGAAAAAAGAAAAGATTTGGCCCAAGCCATCAAAATCTATTATACTGAAATTCTACCTTTAGAAAATCTAAATCTCTCTTTTTAATGCATACTAGGCCCAGAAACTGGGCCAGTTGGTATCCTGTTTTTCTATTTCTTTCTTCTTGGCTTTCAGTACTTGTAAAATAGATCATCTGGCACTCTTATACTATAGAGAGAAGGTAGGTGCGGTAATATCTTTCTTTGGACCAACTTCTGTTGATGGAAGGTGCAAGATTTTGAGTTTCATGGAGCTCTTACTTGTGTCTGGAGAAGATAACTAGAATGTCACTTGTACCTGAGAGAGAGCTCTCTGAAGGTCGAAAGTGTGCCCCTTCCCCCAACAGAAATTGGTCCAACAAAAGGTATTATCTCACTTGCCTTGTTTCTCTCATATCCTGGGACCAACAAGGCTACAGCGCTGCAAACAACCCTTATATCCTTCATTTAAATTGAAATGCAGATGGTTTCCTCCTATGAATTAGTCCCTTGATCTAGTTTTCTTGTCATTATAGACCATCTCTTCAGCTCAAATCTAAAAATCAGAACAAGTGAAGGATGATCTGATAGTCTTGTTTTGTACCATAGAACATGTTCTTGCTGTCTGTCAATCCCAAGAGAAAATACTGGCAGAATTAATTGAATGAGGCAAAGAAATTTATTTTCATCAAATTGTCCTGATTTAAGCTGGACTTGGGTTTGTGGTTAACAGTTTTGCAATTGCGACGTTAAACCTAAAAAGGAAACTTTTATAATACCAGTACAGTCCACGGAATCGAAAGTACATTTGTCATGAATCTGTTCAGTGTATTTGTTATATTGTTTCATCAAACTGACAATTCCCACATTGCTCATGTCTCTTTGGTGTTTGTTTGGACTTTGCTTTTAGTCCCCAGAAAATTATTTTAAAATACACACTATGCCTGAAGTGTGGCAATGACCTAGAGGCAAAACCCAGAGAATTCTAATTAAAATGCACAAAACTGCTGAATACAGAAAAAAATATGCTGTGCTTTTGGGAGAAAAAATGATAAATGTTTGCACAGCTAAAAGTCAAAACCTCTTATAAAATGTTAGTTGGCGGTGTAGCATGCCATGTGGGTATGATTTTTCACAGTATTGAAAAAAATTTGACAGCCTCTCTGTTCCAATATAGTCAAGATGTGGAACAAAAACCAAATGATCATCCATAGTGAACTTCCCATAAATACTATGATTGATTAAAAGGTGTGGTGTAGAATACAGATAATATTCTTTTTAACTGCCCTCTATGATTATATTGCAGGTGTATTTAAAATGACCTGCATTTTGCCAAAGAAACAACTTTTTTCTTTCTTGTAGCTAGTGAAATGATACAGACTAAATGAAAAGACGGCATATTAAGCTGAGAAAAACCATTATCTATGGTACATGAAGGATTAATCGACCAGACATGCAGGATATTACACTGGACACAGCTGATGCCAGGTGTTATTTTGTTTGCAGAAAAATCTATATTTCATAAAGAACATAAATAACAGATGAGGCCAAAAGCTATGACATGCTATGAAGAAGAATAAAATAGGTTTATTGTAGTCAAGAGAATTGATGTTAAAATTCACAACTCTTAGCATATTCTTCTTCATGGCTTTAAAGAAAATAAACAAAATGGAGCTATACCTGAACCATTTGTTGCAGAAGATTTTGCTTTAAGCATGTTAATTGTAGCCAGAAAAATACATCAGGATTGGTGTTTACAATTAAAAACCAGCATTTTCAAAAGTATGTGGTTTGCTTTTTGCAGAAAGGAAACTGCATTGTGATCTTAAATTTGAATATTTGTGCCTCCAAAATATGTGATTGTGGGCACAGACCATGAAGTTAGAAGCACAAGTCCACTGATTTGCTCCTGTAATTCATTTACAGACACACAGATGCATTTGCAGTTAGCTTTAAAAAAGAAAAAAGGGAGGGGGGGAAGAGCTGGGCCTTAGACCTTGGGGAAATGTACCTCAAAATTTTTGCTTTCTATTGGAATGCAGAATTACTACTCTAAGATGCATACTAGTGATGATGTAGCCTCAAAAGTCTCTCTCTTTTTTTTTTTTTTTTAAATGGTATCCAAAAGATTATCTACTCTGCGGAAGATGACCTAAACCTCTTCAGTCTGAAAGTCATGCTGGAAATTTCAGTATAACAAAATTTCTCATTGGATTTTTGCAAACTTTAGCATGGAACATTAAACTCTTATGTTTCCAAAATGTTTAGGACATGAAGTACATTCTGATAAACAGGGTCAACTCATCAGGGGAAATAAGCAAATGATTCACTCTGCTGAGGGACAGACCCTAGGTTTGAGCGAGATCGCTTCAGATAAATTGTGTTGTGCCATACAATATTTCAGTAACTGCTTCTGTGCAGAAAAAATAGACAAAAAGAGATGAGAAAACCCTAAAAATGGGGTTAACTAAACCTTTTTAGTCCTCAGAAAAGATTCAAGTTCAAGTTTTGAATAAAGGTTTGGGTCAGTTCTTATTGTTTATTAATTAATTAATCATACCAAATTCAGGGTCATATCCACAACTAGTGTAAAACAGCATAGCCTCAACTCTTTACATACACACACATACCGTCATACCACATTCCTCTCCAAAGCAAAATATCCAGTAAATGTTAACTTAGTGATTTATTTAGTTTTCTTTAAAGTGTGTCCCCCTAGCTGTGGGTGCTCAGCTTTTAACCAGCATAGAAACCTTATGACTAAAAGGCAGATTTTAAATTAGATCTTGCTATAGACAAGAACACTCACACAACCTTGAATGCCCTAATGCTTTTCTTTCTCTCTCCCCCTAGTGCTCATTTTGATAAATTGTTAGTTAATTACTAAATTGTGTATAGGTTCTTGATATCATTTTTCCAGGAAATGAACACTTAAGACCCAAAGAATTGTCTGTACCTCTAGAGCTCCTGATGTAATGCCACACTTAGCAATACTTTATACTATGTCTTCCTACTGTCTTAAACATTATCTGTTGTGAAACACTTTAAAGTAAAAGATCAAAGGGAAAGGGGGGGGGACCCCCAATCTGAGCCCAGTTACACCTTCCAGGTCTCTCTCTAGGCTTCAGCATAGCATATCTAAGCATGTGATACGATTATAGAAATGGTAGGCGAGTCATTTTAATGAACATGCATCTGTTTTTATTTAAGGACATGACAGCACTGAATAAATGCAGTACAGTGATACCACGTCTCTCAGCACTTTCCGTTTATTTTTCATTTATAATCTGGTGGTGACATTTCAATATTTTAACTTTTATACATATTCTATGCCTGATCTTATCTTACAGGAAATAAATGATGTGGATGCGCAGGAGCTAGTGAGAAGGTCAATTGGAAGGTTAACAATTATTCGACAGACATTTCCAGTCCCACAGAACAGCAGTCAACGCTGTTTCCGTGGCAACCACAGAATATCTTCATCACTGTGTGATCCGAAGGACCCTTTCTCCCAGAACATGGAGGTATCTTCATACTAATAGTTTCTCGCCTGTGTGCTAGCTTTATAGACAGCTGCTGGGAAAACTTTGAGTTTAGTGTAATTTTTGACTCTGCTTATTTTTAATATTCTTCTGTGTGGCATATCCTAATGGTTCATGCATGAAACAATGAAATGGCTTAGCTGTTTGGGTGCCGTCTTGGTGACTAGAGCTACATATCTAGCCTAAGCCACAGCAAGGCAGGGAAATCAGAAAGAAACAACTCAGCATCCAGAAGAAGGGGTATTGAATTGCTGAGTTTTATATTGCTGAGATTAATTCCACCAAGAATTGCCTCTGCAGAGCCACACAATAAGAATCTCATACCATATTTCTCAAGCCACAGAACTGGTAATACTAGTAAAGCCATCCTGGAGACCTTCTGCCTAAAGATTCGGAACCAAGCATTTTAAAACTTGGGTGTCTCAAGCTAAATACCTAAATCCATATTTATGTACCTAAGTGACCTTATTGTCAGAGATTCTGAGTACGGATTTTACTGACTCCATGGAGATATCCTATTTATGCCAATACATTCCACCATCCACCCACTGCAAGCATATTCCATATATGGACTGTGAAAGCAAAAAGATAACAAGATAACAACATGTATTTTTAAACCCACTTCTATGCTCCTGATCTGTCGTTGAAAATGTTTAAATTAAGATTGATCTTTTTTCAGTAAACAGACTTTTTTGACAATTCTTCTAAATTTTCTTTAATATTTTTTTTTTTTTTTTTTTTTTCATTTGCAGCTCTTACATTTTGTTTGTTTTTCCCTCAACTCTGATTTTAAAAGGTCCCCATAAACAAATGGTGGGATTTTTTCAAAATGTAAAAATTTCAGGAATGAAAATCACTTATAAAATATTTAGGAATAAAAAAATTACTTAGATTTTTTTATTTCATTTTTTAAAGTAATATTTTATGTCAGTGAAAAATTATTTTCTCTCTTGATTTTGATTTATTTCTTTTTTATTCTGAAAATGTGGGATAAAATTGTTTTTGAGTGTTTGACCAGTTCTAATTATGATTTTGGTGGAATTGAACCCAATCAGAATGATTAAATTCATAGAGGTAAATGGTAAAGAGGATGTAATGCAACATTGGGGGAAGGGATAGCTCAGTGGTTTGAGCATTGGCCTGCTAAACCCAGGGTTGTGAGTGCAATCTTTGAGGGGGCCACTTAGGGATTGGGGGCAAAAATCAGTACTTAGTCCTGCTAGTGAAGGCAGGGGGCTGGACTCGATGACCTTTCAGGGTCCCTTCCAGTTCTCACCCTCCATATATTAATTATTAATATGGATTTACCAAACCAGAACAACCTGATTTCCTTCTTTGAGAAATTAACTGATTGTTTTAGATAACGGAAGTATAGTAGGTCTAAAACATTTGGACTTAGTAAAGCATTTGATACTGTACAACATGAGAAATTATTAGTTAAATTAGGGAAGATGGGGACCAGTACAAGCATTGTAAGGTGGATAAGGAATTTAGCTAAAGGAGAGAAGGCAGCAGGTTGTGCTGAAAGGTGTATTACCAGACTAGGGAGAGGTTACTAGCAGTGTTCCTTAAGGATCAGCCTTAGGATCAGTATTACCGAATTTTTTTTATGAATAACCTTGGTGCAAAAATAGGAGTGTGCTAATAAAATCTGCTGATGATATGAAGTTGGGAGACACTGTCAATACAGAGGAGGATTAGAATATTATACAGGAAGGTCTGGATGACTGGAGTGACAGAAATGGGATGAAATTCAATAGCAAAGTGCAAGGTAGTGCAGGTAGGGTCTAATAAAAAGAATTTCTGCTACACCTCAGGGTTGGAAGTGACAGAGGAGGAGAGAGACTTTGGTGTGTGGTTTGATCATAGGATGTCTATGAGCCACCTGTATGATGTGACTGTGAGGGGAAAAAAGCAAATACAATCCTATGATGTATAAGGCAAGGCATTTCCAATAGAGATGGAGATGTATTAATTCCATCGTACAAGGCATTAGTAAGACCTCATTTGGAATAGTGTGTACATTTCTGGTCACCACGTTCAAGGAAAACTATTTTAGACTGGAACAGGTGCAGAGAAGAGCTATGAGGATGATCCTGGCAAGGAGGGCCTATCTTATGAGAGGAGATTGGAAGAACTTGGCTTGTTTAATCTCACTAAAAGAAGGCTGAGAGGGGATATGATTGATCTTGATAAATCAGGGAGCGATAAATACCAGGGAGGGTGAAGAGCTATTTATGCTGAAGGACAGTGTTGGCACGAGAACTAATGGATATCAGCTGGTCATGAACAAGTTCAGGCTGGTAATTAGAAGAAGGTTTCTAACCACCAAAGGGATGAGGTTCTGGAACAGCTTCCCAATAGGAGTTGTGGGGCAAGCAAATTAATTAGTTTTAATAGAACTGGACAAATTTGAGTGCACTTGTATGATAGGGTTGCTTGTGATGGTAGGGGGCAAGGCTCAAGCTCTAGGGGGTCGCTTCTGGTTTCTCTTATGTTCCTAAAGCTCATGCTTCATGGTTGCAGCTGGCCACTAGAAGGGATCAGGAAGGGATTATTCCCACCCTGCCCCCAATGTATTCTGGGATTTTTTTTCTTTCTTCTGAAGCATCAGGGGTGGCCACTTCTGGATATGGGACACTGGGTGGGTTAGGCCAGGGCTCTGAGATGGCACCAAGCATCCTCTCCGTCAAGTGCTTGACTGGCTGGTTCTTGCTCACATGCTGAGGGTCTAACTGATCAGCAAATGTGAGGTTGGAAAAATCCCTTCCTTCCTTCCTGACCTTGCGGGGGGGAGGGAGAGGGAAAGGGGGAGCAGTTACCTTCCTCTGCAGCATATGGATATGGGTCACTTCCCAGGATTATCTGAGTATATCTCATTTAACCATTTCCCTGCCATTGTTCCTATTCTCTGCCTGTGGCACGTAATAGTCTACTATCCTGTAGGTCTCATTCCTTTGAAGGGTTTAGCGTGTTGGTGCTGGGTGATGTCAGTGCCCTGTGATACACAGGTGAGACTAGATAATCTAGTGGTCCCTTCTTGCCTTGATCTTTGACTGTACTAATGGAGGGCCCAGTTTTGCAACGGACTTCAGGCTGGCAGATCCTTGTGCCCCTAAGGAGTTGCAGGGGTCTGGCCACACCGAGTCACTCACACAATTGAGTTCACATATGTGTTTACAAGCTTAGGGCCTTTCTTTGCTAGTAAGCCTGGTTCGACTCAGTTCTGTCAAAGTTATGGCTATTCAGGAGTGCAGGACCAGCTTTAAAAAAAGCTGTCTTGCTTGCAGTTTTCCCCCTTCCCCCCCCCGCACCCTGCTAGTACATATATGGAATAAAAATGGCTATATGTCAGTGACCGGACCAGCTAGGAGCAGCTGCTGGCCAGCTCTGTAACTAAGTGCATTACTAGGCAACCAAGGAGCCCACATACGCTGCCTTGGAAGTCACAGTGGCCTCAGCCCCTGACTGGCTGCTGGTTTAGCAGTCCTGTTTATAAGCCTGGCCTCCGCAGCAGGTCAGTGGCTCTTCAACACATACCACTCCCAGAGCTGTACTTGCCCTTGTTCCAGTCCCTGCTCCCCTCTGACTTCAGACTTCTAGATTCGACCCCAGCTCTGCCTCTGGCTTATGACTCCGGTTGACTCTCCAGTTCTGACATACAGCTTCTGTCTCTCTGGTACTGATCCCTGGCTCTGCCTCTGGCTTATGACTCTGGTTTACACCCTCCTCCCAAGCTGTGGCATTTGGCTTCTGTCCCTCTGGTACTGACCATTGGCTCGTTTCCTGGACTACGCCCACCCTAGTCCAAGCTCTAACTAGTAGGCCTCACTCTCTTTTACCACCAGGCCTGACCACCCACAGCCTGGTCGTCAACACTGTTGTTCATACCAATTATACATCTATGCTGTCTTCTGATAGTGGCCGATGCCAGATGCTTCAGAGGGAATGAACAGAACAGGGCAATTTATGAGTGATCCGTCTCCTGATGTCCAGTCCCAGCTTCTGGCAGTCAGAGGTTTAGGGACACCCAGAGCGTAGGGTTGCATCCCTGACCGTCTTGGCTAATAGCCATTGATGAACCTATTCCCTATGAATATAGCTAAATCTTGTTTGAAGTCAGTTATGCTTTTGGCCTTCACAACATCCCCTGCCAATGAGTTCCAAAGGAAGACTGTGCATTGCTTGAAATACTTTCTTACGTTTGTTTTAAATCTGCTGTCTGTTTATTTCACTGAATGACCCCTGGTTCTTGTGTTTATATGCAGGAGTAAACAGGGGTTCTGGAACAATTTGTATAGGGTGTTGAGAGCCATTGACCCAAAGTGTAAACCTTGTATATAATGGAGACCACTTCAAGCCAGGGGGTGTTGCAGCATCCCCCACACTCGTAGTTCCAGCACCTATGGGAGTAAATAACATTTCCTTATTCAGTTTATTCACACCATTCATGATTTTATAGGCTTCTATCATATCTCACCTTAGATATAGGGTGACCAGATGTCCCGATTTTATAGGGACAGTCCTGATATTTGGGACTTTTTCTTATATAGGCACCTCTTGCCCCCCCACCCCTGTCCCGATTTTTCACATTTGCTATCTGGTCACCCTACTTAGACATCTCTTTTCTAAACTGAACAGCCCTAGGATTTTTTTTATCTGCCCTTCTGTGGAAGCTGTTCCATATTCCTAATCATTTTTGTTGCCCTTTTCTGTACTTTTTTCAATCCTAACCCAATTCTAATATATCTTCTTGGGATGGGGTGACCAGAACTGCATGCAGTATTCAAGGTGTGGGCATGAGATGGATTTATATAGTGGCCATTTGGATATTTTCTGTCTTATTATCTATCTCTTTCTTAATGGTTCCTAAGAGTGTTAGCTTTTTTGGCTGCTGCTGCTGCACATTGAACAGAGGTTTTCAGAGAACTATCCACGGTGACTCCGTATCTCTTTCTTGAGTGGTAATAACTAAGTTAGAC